AAATCCAGTCAGATTAAACATTTTTACACTAAACTGATTAAAATATAAATTGTACAGGTTTTACAATCAGATTAGAAGTTTGGAGCTTGATCACAAGTGATGTCTGGGTAAATCTAAGTGGAAAGTCAATATTAATCAATACCTCTCATTGTCTCTGTTACTCACGGATGCTGTTAAACACCCATGGCCCCTGAACTAATCCCACCACATCAGAATTTGACCTCTGACTCTCATTTTAATTACAGCACCCAGTGAATATGACATATTAAAATATCGCTGAATAAAACATGAGCATTTCTTACTTTAGGAAGTCAAGTGAAAACACTCAGAGTCAGTTTGGTTTAATGCAAGAGCTTTTGGCTCTTCCCCGGGGGAAGGGATTTCAAACTGGGGCCTGAGCAGCTCCCGCTCCTGGCAGAACTCGGTAACTGAGGTGAAGAAACAGCTCTGGTAGAAAGAGGCTCTATTCCTACCAAATTAATAGCATTTTAATAATTACAAATAAAATAAACCAAAATTTATAAATCTATTTCTAGTAGGAATCATTTCACCAAAACCACAATTTATGGTTTTCAAAATCATTGTAAAATAACATTTTAAAACTGACAAGTCACAATTACAAGACATGATATAAAGTAGAGTGCAAAATATAAGAAATAAGAAATGTGCAATTTTTATACTTTCTTGTTTTGCTTTTAAATCGAGTTATTTTAAATATTTTCCTAACTAATCAATGAAAACCAAATGATGCTTCAAAAAACTGCGTGGGCAGAAATGAAATGCAACACACAAACCTGAACAAAGCACATATTTATTTTCTATTATTAGAAGCAAAGATTGAATGTGTTCTCTACATGGAGGTAGTTTCTAATGAACCATGAAGGGATGGATGTTGTGACAGAAGTGAGGCCGTGCGGTGGAGTGGAGCTGCAGATGTATATATACTGTATATATGCAGCCCAGACTGGGATTTAAAAAAAAGAAGAGCTGCTGTTACATTTGGCCGCAAACATGTCGGCACTCTTCATAAAACATGTCAGATGCGGTCTTCAAGATATGAGATGCACTGAGATGACAGAGTTGTAAACAATGACCATTCAATTATGAATCATGCCAGCTATATAACAGCTATTAAGAAAAAAGGGGTAGAGTGAGAAAAGGGACTTCATGCTTTATTCAGACTTTAACATCTTAGAAATTCAGTGGGATCCATAAGCAGCTTCCTGAGAGCTTCTCACACGTGTCCGGTTTTCTATAGGACACTGACATGTCTGTCTTTCACCTCACATTTACACTCGCCAGCTAGAAAATCATAGTAAAGCAGAACTTCCACTCTGTGGTTCAAGATAACAACATATTTTTTTAAATATTTTCAACAGGTATCCTATCTTCATTGATAAGTGTTGACTTGACTATCAAATCCATGGACCTGTTTCTCCTCCACTATCCCCAAGCAGGTATCCGGCCTGCAACAGGTTTGCATGGTGAGAAAAAAGTCCTCGGCTGTTTTAATCTGTGTAATGAATAAGAAAATGCCAGTGTGGTAATGGATGCCTGCCACCGTGCTGCTAAATTATTCAGAGTCTGGGGAACCAGAGAGGAGGCCGGCGGGATCGAATGGACCCGCGGTGTCATCAGTCCACCTCTGCCGCCTGGCTCCTCTTTCGGCCCCGTCCACCGCGGCTTCTCTGGCTTTAAGCAGGCAGCCACATGAGAAGGCTGTGAAGCAGCTACAGGGATGGGCTTCAACGAGGGAGGAGACGGGGATGAGGACGGCTGAAGGGAAACCTGACAGGACACAGATACAACCTGAATCATACAGAGTCAAAACTATTGTTCAGCCACTTCAGGCTTCTGTGTGAGCCACTGAGGCCCAGAGTTTCAGCACCACGGACAGAGCACAAGCAACCTGTGCTGTCCATGGTGCTGAAACACTGGGAACTCAAGTGGAGGAATCCATGTTTTTTTTCTAACTCTTGACAAATGTGTTTCTGACTGAACAAGACTCTAGTGGATTTCTTTAACGCTCTGAGTTGAAGGGGAGTTGGGTATTATCCTGAACATAGTTCAAATTACAAATGTTCCTTGTTAACAAAGGTAAAGACATTTTCCTTTCAACTAAATTTTATTCGCACCAAATCACAACATGAATTATGGGAAATGGGAGAAAAATAAACACTTGTATTCATATTTTCTTCTACAGTGGGCGATCTTACATATGACGTTTGTGCAGGATACTAAAAAATCGGAAACCTTTAGGAAAGTAAGAATTTTTAAAGATTTTATTAAATTTATTTATTAAATTTATAAATGAAAAATATTGTATTCGATCAGAGTGATTTTTCAGTATATGGTCCCAGTATGGGCTCAATAAAGTCCACCTGTCCATCCATCATCCATCTCTGTCTGTCTGTCTATCCATCTTGTGTTGGATTCATTCGACGCTTGCGCACAGAGGCCAACACTTAGAAACTTGTAAGCTGAGCAGAGGAGCAGGTGGGAGGAGGGAGGCTGAAAGAGGAGGAGGTGGTGGTGGGATGCCGGGAGGCGCAGCCGGTGTTAACAGCTCAGTCCGGGTGACGGTGAGAGCAGAGAGGGAGCTCTGTGGTGTGTCCGATCCCCGGCGTTCATGTCAGGGCCCATACTGCTGCCGGCGCGGCGCTTGCAGGGAGGAGGATGATGACCATGAACGGCAAGCAGCATTTCTCCATGCACCCGGCCCTGCACGAGCCCAAGTATCCCGGCCTGCACGCAGGCTCGGAGGGCATGCGCAGAGTCTGTCTGCCCGCCCCGCAGGTACGTTCAGGTCGGGGTAGTAGAGGAGTGGGGGCAGAAACTATCACACTGGGAAATGTTAAAGTTGATTTGACAGGACTTTGTTCTATCCTCCATCTCTCTCCTCTGTCTGTGCCCCTCTCCTCCCCCCTCCCCCCTCCTCCCCATCCCATCCACGTCTGCTCCAGCAGTGCTCTTGCTTTCATATTAATTTTTATGACCTGCGCTTTGAGGAGGGGGTTCTCTCCTCTCCTCGGCGCTGCTGCTTGCCTGTGGAAAATGTTTTTTAGATCCTGAGAGTTGCCTGACAGAATTCCCCACTGACTCCAGTATGCGCACTCTTGCTTGCAGCTGCAGGGCAATATATTCGGAGGCTTTGATGAGAGCCTGCTGGCACGGGCAGAGGCTCTGGCGGCTGCTGACAGCATTGTCTCTCACGGCAAGAGTCACCCGTTCAAACCAGACGTGACTTACCATACCATGAGCAGTGTCCCCTGCACCTCAGCCTCCTCTTCTTCCTCCACCACCGTGCCCATCTCCCACCACCACCACCACCACCACCTCGGGCAGACCCTGGAGGCCGGGGACCTCCTGGAGCACCTCTCCACCAGCCTGGCCGTGACCGGGATGGGTGCTCAGGAGCCTCCAGGGATGACGGCGGCGCACCACCACCAGCACCCTCACCACCACCTGCAGACCATGGGACAGCTGCACCAGGCGATGGCCAACATGGCCCACCCCCACTCCCTGTCAGTGCACGGCGGCATGGCGTGCGTCAACGACGTGGAGTCGGATCCCAGGGAGCTGGAAGCCTTCGCGGAGCGGTTCAAGCAGAGGAGGATCAAACTCGGGGTGACCCAGGCGGACGTCGGGTCAGCGCTGGCCAACCTCAAGATCCCCGGGGTGGGGTCCTTGAGCCAGAGCACCATCTGCAGGTTCGAGTCCCTCACTTTGTCCCACAACAACATGATCGCGCTCAAGCCGGTTCTTCAGGCCTGGCTGGAGGAAGCCGAGGCTGCGTACCGGGAGAAAAGCAGCAAGCCGGACCTTTTCAACGGGAACGAGAGGAAAAGAAAGCGCACCTCCATCGCCGCGCCGGAGAAGCGCTCTTTGGAGGCGTACTTTGCCATCCAGCCTCGGCCCTCCTCGGAAAAAATTGCGGCCATCGCGGAGAAGCTGGACCTGAAAAAGAACGTGGTTCGAGTGTGGTTTTGCAACCAGCGGCAGAAACAGAAACGAATGAAATACTCTGCGGTGCACTGACTTTCACATCATGAATAAAATAGCCTACTACATTTTTGATCGAGTGATTAATAATAGCCTAAGTAGCCTCACTAACAGGATTTATCAGCAGCTCTCATCTGGGATTATCTCCAATAACTTCTGATCTGATTTTTCATTTCGTGTCACTCACTCTTCGTCGTTGCACTTTTTTTCAAATGTAGTTTTTTTTTTGGATACGGGACTAATCGATTGTGTTCTAGATCTGTGATCAGGGTGATTTCAGTGTTGTTGCTCTCGTGTATCTTCGCGCACACTTTTCAGATAAGTCACCCCTGACAACTCGTCACATTCAGGGATCATTTTTAAAAGAAACCCACACACGTGGAGTTTAGATGCTGTTTGTTGTAAAACTGATGCTTTGTGAACAAAGACGAGGAAATTATGTTTTTCGTTGAAAGATGATTGTTTTTTTTTGTCTTGTTGGCTGAGGTTGGTCCTTCACATCACTGGCTCACTATGCAGAAGTTCACCATCATATCTTCAAATGTATTTTCACCTGATTTTTTTTATTTTAAATCAACAAGTCAAGACTTTAGTGGAATTCAACGATGAAGATGAGTTTGAAAAAAAAATATCACTTTTATAAAACCAACACCACAATTTTTTGCAATCGAATCTGCTCTTTTTCCTGAACTCTATGATCGTCTTTTACGCACAAAAAAAGAGTATTTACAGTAACTCTTTCACAAGGTATTTAACACACTGACTCTTCTCATCTTTAATTATTGAATAATAATAATACAATGACACTGTTATAGGCTGTATGAGACACATCCGTGTGGCTTTTGGCTGCTGCTATATTTTAATATTTTGACGTGGACATGTTTTGGAGCATTACA